AAGCTACTCCACCTCTATTCAGTTTGTCATTACGTATCAACCCAGTCAGGGCCCTATTGATCGTTACAGTCGGCACCGACATAATTGTCAGTAAATTACTTGATCAGGCCCCTGTGACATACTAGTAGTGGGGTATTCGAAAATTACTCTTTCGGAACTGGCTTCAGTACGTGAGTATCCTGGATTCGATACATTCTCTTAGGTGATTACTCCATAGCGTTTTATGATTTAAAATTCTAGTTAAATAGTGTTATTGTACAATGACACCATCTATTTTTGCAGAGAATATTTTATTTCTAATGAAATAACTGCAATTAGATACGAAATATTATCGTTTTTCAAGTTCAAAAAAAAATCTGATTCCTTTTCATCCGGTATAAATTTATTGAATATTTTCAGAAGGAGCCTGTTCATTCATCTTTTTAATCAAATCATCAGCACAATCAAATATAGGTTTCCAATATTGATTCATATTTTGATTTATAGCTTGATCGAATTGTGTTTGTATAGATTGTACATCTTGTTTTTCACAGATTGCTTTCCAAAGATCTTCAATATATTGTTCATATTGCTTTAATATATCATTTAATGATTTTTCCATCTGTTTCGCAATTTCAGTACCTAATTTTAATAATTCTCTATAATTCTCCATACGACTTTGATAGCTTTTTGGATCTTGACTTTCTATTGGAGAATCTGGTCTTGCTGAAAGTATCAGTTGTTGAAAATTGTCAATATTTTCCAATAATTCACGTTTAAGACTTTCCAAATTATCTATGACATATTGTTCAATTACATCATCTGATACTTTAAATTTTGAAATTTTATCACGAATCCAATTGATGATTGGTTTACCATCAGATGATACTCGTTTTTGTAATTTAAGAATTAATGTTGGAAGTTTTTTTTTATTTTGATCTTGGATTATTGTTAGAATTCTCTATAAGAAAAATATAATGTAATGACGTTTTCTTATTTCTATTCCTTTCGTTGCTGTTGCTTTCCTATTTCTTTTTTGTTCTGTCTTGGAATTACGCCAAACGTATAAATCTACATATATGTTTTATTTTTCCTTTTCTTCTTTGATCTTTGTTCTGTTTTCTCTTTTATTTCAACTTATAGTCGTTATTGTTGATTCAAGTCAAACAAATATTATATTTGATCTTGATCTTATTCTCTATTATTGTCTATCTATTACGTTATACTATTGTCTATTGAGTAGTAACATTGTCTACGAATATATAAATATATATATTCTATTATTTTCCATAATAAATGACGTATTGTACTGCACTGTACAAAAAAGTAATGCGTCCACATTTTAACTACGTGGTAATAAAAAACTTAAAAAATACTTCGTAAATAATTACAATGTCATATCTTCAAGATTTGAGAACGGAAATTTGAAACGTTTACATTTACGTTACAAGTAAGATTTTTTCCAAAGGACGCAGATAAGATATCTGTCGATGACAGTACTCTTGAGAGAAAATGACGTGTACGCTTGTAAATATTAATAAGATAAGATTGGAAATGAGGATAAAATTAATGGGAAATAATTTTGAATCAAACGAACAAATATTATTTAAAACAAACTTACACTTGTGTAATTTGAATTCATTGATGATGAAACTTTCTAAAACAAAATATTTTAAGATTAACAGTCAAAAAGAATAAATTTTCTTACTTGAGAAGTTCGATCTGAATGTTGAGAAGACATATTTTTAGTAAAAAGTCGATCTAGAATACAGAAAAATAGTTCAACATATGAGTATAGAATATTATTTTATTCATTTGAAATAATTTATTTATATATTGATTATTTAAAAAATATATCAAAGACATTTTTGAAGGCATTTGAAATTTTTTCAAAAATGAAATCAACATGTTCCCAGATCCATATGACGACTGTTTTAACGATGTCGATTAATTTAGAAAATATATCTCCGATCCAATTTCGAAGTCTAATCATGCCTTCATCAGCATATTGAAGAAGTTTTCGATAAGCCTCTTTTTCAAAATCTGAGGCACCTGGACCAGGTCGTTTATCAAGAATTTTTTCTTTAATTCTATCGAGTTGATTGAGAGTAGCATTTTTTGTTTGATTAACAGGTTGAACAAATGCAGCTTCTTCATCAGTAATCTTATCTTTAATCTTTCCTCTTTCAGCCATCGATCTCACTATGTTTTTCAATCTCCCAATATCTATCAGTATTTGTAATCGATTTTTAATTCTCTCGTTTTCCACTGTTTTAAATAGTTGTAAGAAATATTTTAATGCAGCTAAATAATTTCTTTTGAATATTTTGTTATGAGAAAAATTATTATTTGTATTAAAATAAAAAATTTTGATAAAAAAAGGTGTCTATTGAAAATGTCTATGATAGATATATTCTAAATCAATAATGAAACAATATAAATGAATAAGTCATGAAAAAAATTTCATTAAATAATGAACGATATTGAGAATAAATTTTATTTTCTTCTTATATGAAACTCTTTTTTTCAGATCATTTATCTTATTTGACAACGTTTTTTTTTCAATTATTTCTTTTTTATCGCAACAAGTAAATTTGAAATGTTTGTATATATACTATATAATGATTATATTCTAGAAAAATGAACTCAATATTTGATAAAGCGTCATTAGAATTTAAAACATATACTTCAGATGATATTGGGAGATTGAAAAACATAGTGAGATCGATGGCTGAAAGAGCAAATATTAAAGAT